AACCTAATTTTGTCCATTTTCTCTAGTTTTAAGTTAAGCTATTTTGCCCATTTAATCTGGGAAACACTGTCTGAAACATTACATTATAAAAGATATATATATATATTTTTATTTTTACATTTTTAAAGTCATGGCCTGTACTCGAGTTGTCGTATTTTATAGGAAGTAAGGGCACTTGTGGATCCCAGGCTGAGCTGCACTGAATACTGCATTTTCCTGTGTGGACTTGGATGTGTAACAGGCACACAGCACAGCGCCTCCATCTCCTCGCTGCTCCTGCTCAAGCCTGTGCTAGAGACCCCTCCACAGCAATCCCGACGTCGCCCCTTTTGGCTGTACCAAAGGCTTCGCTATCAGGAAAGCCAGAGTGGAGATACTTATTTGTAAGCAAGTCTGCTTATTTGTTTAAATCTGCAGAGCCTCCAAAATTCCTGCCCATATCGTCCACGCCGCAGCCCGAGAGGCGGCAGCCACCCCAGAGACGCCACTCCATTGAGAAGGAGACACCCACGAACGTACGGCAGTTCCTGCCCCCATCCCGGCAGAGCTCCCGCTCTCTGGTGAGTGCCAGCCGAGGACCCTGCCCCTTCACCTGCTTTCACATGACACGAGCAGCCTCGAGGTGCCACAGGCTGGAGTCCAACACTTAGAGGCCCAAACAGTGGGACAGCAGGTGTCAGCCCAGAAAGGCAGTGTAGGGAGACCGTGTCTAAAGAAGAAAGAAAGAGCTGGGAATGCAGCTCAGTGCCAAGGGCTGTGCTGCTCAGCGCTCCCCCAACCCTCCTCGCTTGGCAATGAGAAAAAATGATTGCGAAGAAGCTTCTGCAAATTACAGTGGATGTTGAATAGCTTCTTATTATCTAAAAAGAAAACAGGCGCTGATTGAAACTTGACCAGTTTTTGTTCATTTTGAGTCCTTTTTTCTCTAGATCTAGCAGTGAATTTATTTTTTAATGTTTAGGTGTAGTTAGTATCAGGTCTCACTACAGAAATCACACTCATTTTGAGCCTCCTGCTTTCTGCCTCCCAAGCGCTGCCATTGCAGGGGTGTGCCACCACCCAGTCTCAGTCACACTCAGTCGCCCTCTCAGCATGCCCTGGGGGTAGAGCTGGCCCGGCACTCTGGGGATCGAACCTGGGTCCCTGCCCCTGTGTCTGCCTAAGCAGGCACTTCAGTCTGCTGAGCTATTTGGCCAGCCCCAAACAATGAATTTTTAAGGAAATGCTTTCTAGGGCTGGGGAGACAGCTCAGCGGTCTAAGTGCCTGCCTGGCAAGCGCAAGGACCTGGGTTCAATCCTTATACCACATACTGTGCCAGCCTGGGAGCCAAGCTGGTCACTGAACTCGAGCGTGGTGGTGCATGATGGTGGCTCATGCTGGTAATCTCAGTGCTGGGGAGGCTGAGGCAGGATGATCACTATGAGTCCAGGCTGCGTAGCAAGACCCTGTACCAAATAAATACATAAAAGATTTTTTAAAAATGCTTTCTACCTTTAAATGGGTACCAATCCATTTAAAACTTGTTAAAAAACAGATCAGAAGACTCTTAACAAAGCCTGAGATTGGCGTGCCAAGCACCCGACAGGGAGATTGTCAGCTGGGGGCGATTGCCGCACATTGCCCCGGCTGGTATTGCACGCTGCAGGGCAGGAGCTGCCTCAGGATACAGGGCGGCAGCCCTACAGCGAGAGCTGGTGGATGTGGCTCTGCCCTGCTTCAGAGCCTGCGAGTGCATGGAGAGCGGCTCCCCCGCGTGCGGCCACAGCCTGGTGAGGGACACGGACACCAGGACGCGCAGGGTCAGTGCAGGCTTACGGGAATCAGCAGTAGGTGCTGCCCTCAGACAGGGGCACACTGTGCCACAGCTCGGCACAGGGAGTGTGTCAGCCACCCCTCCTTCAGCTGCCACAGTTAAGTCAGTGGCTTTATGGCCATTGTGGTGAGAGTCCCCTGACCCTGCCTGGTCACAGAGACTTGCTGTTCAAGGAGTTCAGCCTCTTTGGGGCCCACGGAGAAAAGCAGAACCTAGCCTGACATGCGCGAACTCCAAGCTCCAAAGGCTTCCAAGGCCAGCCAGCTGTTGCTTTACTAAAACATGTTTATTGTCACAACCTAAAAGCATCTGAGAGGGGTTTCTGTGACGGTGGTCTTCTCTGCATCCAGCTTGTCCCACAAGTCAGTCGGTCAGTCCCCTTCTGGCCTGGCTTCTGCAGTCACACAGCCTCACCGAGCGCAGATCTGGTCACCAGTGTGAAGGGGCTGTCAGGGCACCACGGGCCACGGAGGACTGAGACCGAGGAGCCTCTGCCCTGCGCTGAACTTGGGGTGTGTGTGTGGCCAGCCTGAGCTGTTTTGGGGGACAGAAGGGAGCAAAGGACGATCTGCAGGCATGAGAAGGGCGCTGGGAAGGCAGGGAGAGCGAGCCCTGGCCTGCACGGAGGGTGCAGGAGGGAGGCGGCAGGAGCCTTTCCTGGGACCGCGTGGGCGGCTCCCACTGCGCCTCCCTGGCTGCTTCCCGAGGCCCCTGCAGTTCGCTGTGCTGGTGGCACCTCCAGCTCAGTGAGCACAGTTTGCAGAGTGCGGGAATTGGCTTTAAAGTTCAGCTGCGTTTTAGGAAACAAGGAGCCTTTGTGTTTGTCAACCGAAAATGGCAGGAATGTTTTTGTTGTGGGTAATTTTTCTCTCTGTAGGATGTTAACACGTAGCTTTCCCATCATTTGTTCAGGTGGTGGGTGGGGCCGGGGCATGTGCTGTGGGGCTGCCCCCAGGCCGTGTGACCCCACGGCCTGGTCTGCACACTGAGGCTGCGTTGGCAAGGACTGGCACCATCCATGGCGTCTTGTGTTTTCATTCATGATCTGTGGTTGCTGTTTGCAGGTCACTCAATCAGCGTGAACGTCTGCTTTTCTTTCCCTGCCATTTCTCTCCCTGTCGTTCAGGTTCCTAGGACAACTGGTGTATGGCCAAGGACGCCTTTCCGACCACTTTTCTCTACCATACACACAGCTTCTCTGCTCGGCTCCCACCCTCTGGAAGCGGCCGTGTTTGGGGTGGCAGGGGCTGTGTATTATCTGTGTGAGAGAGCTTTGGCCAGCAGGTGGAGACCCGCACAGGTTGGCCTCTTTCTGCTGGTTCCGGGATCCTTTCTCACTGTCTCTCTCTCTGACAGTGACAGCTGCTGCACTCTTGAGAGAATTAACTGCTTCTGGTCAATGATTCCAGTCTTGTGTAGGATGCATAGATCATGCTATGGTCCTTTTCCAGAGAGAAATCACCGAAAGGATAACAGACTCAAATGCAGCATCAGACAGGAGAGCTGTTGGTGTCCGTGTCCTGGGGGACTCCGTGTCCTGGGGGACTCCGTGTCCTGGGGACTCCTGGTCGGCATGTGCCTGGGACATCTCCTCCTGGGCCCTGCCGCCCTCTGGGAGCTGCTCCCTGGGGGGCGGCCTCTGCCCTCCCTGCTGTGGAGTCCCAGCAGATTTCCCCATGGGCTCTAAGGCTGTTGGGCTCGGGCCTGGCCTCTTCCAACACTGCCACACACTGTGGTGGCACTTTGTTGCTTCTCTGTCAAGAGAAATTGCAGCATTTCTTTTCATCATTGAAGACATTAAGTAATTTTGTATTTTGTTAACTTTGTGGAGATTTCCCTCAGACAGTAATATCTTCTAGCACTCCTTGTCTGCCTGTGTGCTGGGTACTGCAAAGCCCAAGGCCCCACTTTTCCACTGTGTCACTAAGTCAGTAAGTGTCCTCAGCAGGGAACCCTGTGGCTGCTTTTTAGTTTTTGCTCTTCTTCCTGGCCGAGAATGGAGGCTTTGCAAAAAGAAGGGAAACTCTAGGGCTTGTCCTGCAATCTCCTGGATTGTTCCCTGGAACGTGGGCCAGGTGCAGGGTGACATTTGTGATACAAGACCCCAAGCTGCAGGCACCGAGGCCCACGAGCTGCCCTAAGCCTGTGAGGGCTTCTCTGACTTTCAACATTTTTATTTAAATTTGCCTTCATTTGGCTTATTAAAACCTTGAGAATCGGGTTGTATTGCATAACTTTCAAGGGCCTGCCCATTCTGTACGGGAGTGTTCCTAACCAAGAACGTTGTATAAATACCAATTCCCATCAACTCCATGCTGCAGTGAGGGGCCCTCACGGGCTGCTCTCTGATCCCCGCGCTAACTGGGATGTGCTGGTAAAATGGGCCCGGAGCAGTGAGTAGAAGCCCGGGCTCTATGGCCTGTTGCTCACAGTGTCACAGGATATGCTTTCTAAAACTCCAAGATTTAGTTTCTTTTCCTAAATTTGAGTCTCATGGAAACAAAGAGGAAAGCAGGCTGTGCAGGTGGAGCCCTGGCCCAGGGCATGTCCCACGTGGCAGCCACACTCATGGTGGCACTAGGCGGGGCTGGATCCCACCCCCCCAACCCTGGAGCACATTGGTAACCCAGCAGCCTCTGTTTTGGCTCTGGGAAGTTGAATGAACAATTTTATCAACTTGAAAAATAACTGACACCATCTTAGTAACTACTTACTGCTTTACTTGATGTTGCATTCAAGTCTTGTTGTCCTTAAGAAAGCTCCAGAAATAAAACATTAGCATTTGACCTGAGAGGAGTATTCCACTACAGCATAGTCTACTTGACATTTTGTAAAAGAATGAGAGAAGAGGGAAACGGAAGTCTCTGACTTCTCAGGAAGCCCCATCTGCTGATGCCTCCACGGAAAGCTGAAGGCCACAAGCACCGAGTGACTCTCACTGGAGAGGCACCGGCTGAGGTCTGCAGTTTCCCTGCCCGCCACCCGCCTGAGGGGTAGCAGGGCCTCCCAGTTCGCTGCTCCCTGGAGGCGCAGGCGCCTCTGGCTGCCTGGTCCCTTGTTGGATGTCAGGCCTGACTCCGTCCAGCTCAGCAGCTTTGCCCTTCCAGAGAGATGGATGAGGTTTCAGGAGAACATCTTCCCCACCCGGCGGTGCCCAGGCCCTCAGGGTGAGCGGCCGTTTAATCCTGTCCTCATCAGGAGAGGAGAGGAGAGGGGGAGCCTGATGGTGACAGGCGGTGGCTGCCGGGAGACCCAGCCTTTGAGCCAGGCCGTCCTCTGACTGCAGTGCCTGTGCCCCTAGAGGCAGCAAGGCAGTCGCAGCGCTGTCTGCAGAGCACTGTGAGCAGACCGGCTTCCCGTAGGTGAGCGTGGACAGAGCTGATGCCCCACCCTTCAGCAAGCAGCAGCAGTTCTTCACCCTGCTCTTCTTAGCACAGTAAATGCTAATGTTTTTCATTTACAACCTAAATTTTTGGGTTTTTTCTGATTGAAAGACAGAACTGAATGTCAGAACCACACAAGCAATCTGCGCCTTGCACAGCTGTGTGCTTCTTGCCGGCAGTGCCCATGAGCAGCGCAGCGTGTGGGGAGAATCCTAATGCATCTGTTGGGACCTTCAGCTCACGTCACCGTCTCACAAGGGCCCTGAAGCCCACTGGCCAAGAAGGCTGAGACCATTCTGTCTTTCTCTTAGATCCCTAGTCTTAAGCTGGCTGGATGGAGCACAGACGGGCGAGGCTCCTTTTCTGAGGGATCAGTGACAGCCTTGCCTTCCCAGCTGGCTGTGGGGTACAGGGTAGAAGCCACCTGGGCTTGATATCCAGCCCAGGACCTGGCAGGGTGTTCTCAAAGTGCACCGATGTCACTGACCCCTCGTAACGCTTGTGAGAACCGAGCACTAACCACCCTCCTCTGGGTACCACAGCAGGGCCGGTGTCACAGGCGTGCTGCCTATCTCAGGCTTGAACAGTTGTAGGAGAGGAATGACCAAAAATTGGCTTAGAGCACCAAAGCTATTTTCAAAATTCCAAACATACCCTACAATGGAATGGAACTATGGGAGGCGCAAAGCCTGCCCCATGGAGGCACCTTCATGGCCTGGTCATTTCAGTGGCCACGATGTCCCGTGGTGCCATGTCCTGCTGTCACCGGAATGGTGTGGTCCCCAGGGGTGCTGGCTCTGCCCCTCGGATCATGGACGCTCTCTTCTGCCTCCTCTCCTCTCCAAGCTACTAACTGTGTGCGTGAGCAGTTGTGGCGTGGTGGGTGGTGTGCGACTCGGCCGTCCATCCATTGCAGGAGGAGTTCTGCTACCCCGTGGAGTGCCTCGCGCTCACGGTGGAGGAGGTGATGCACATCCGGCAGGTGCTGGTCAAGGCTGAGCTGGAGAAGTACCAGCAGTACAAGGACATCTACACCGCCTTGAAGAAGGGAAAGGTAGGCCGCTGGCAGCACCAAGGGAGGCCAGCAGGTGGGTTAGGCTAGGTCCTAGGGCTCTGGAGGTGAGGGCCACACTCTGTTAGCTGTCCTCACTGCACCTTGTGCTGGGGGCATCTGCCCTCGGAAGCCAAAATCCATGTAAAGTGTAGAAACCACGGTGCCTCATTAAGCCATGCAGCAAGCAGACACCACCTGGCTGTGGAAAGGTCCGTGGGGCAGGGGTCCTGTACCCCACCTGGCACTCACTCAGCTGGGAGCCTCAGAGGTGGACAGAAGCAGACGTGGATTCTGATCCCCCAGGGGATGCAAAGATGGCCATGGGGCGGGAGGCAGCTGTCACCCTCTTGTTTGCCTCTGAACTTTGTGTTTTTAGCTCTGTTTCTGCTGCCGAACCCGGAGGTTCTCCTTCTTTGCCTGGTCATACACCTGTCAGTTCTGCAAGAGGTGAGGGAGGCCCTGTCCTCAGTGGGGTCACAGACTTGGAGGCTGGGAGAGCGCGGCACCTTGGCCCGTGCACCTTTGACCCTGTGCACATTCATTTCTTGAGTCGGCCTGTTACTGCTGTTGCCTGGCAGTGTCCCTCTTAGGTAAACAAGGGAACTAATAAGGAGTCGGGTTCAAACAGCAAATGAAACACAAAGGTGTGGTTACCTCAAGGCCACAGTCTTGCTGCGGCCCTCCCTGTGGCCCTGCTGCCTCCGGCGGGAAGGGCTGGCGGTGCCGGGAACCCTCGCCTCGCGCCCTCTGCCACCCTGGTAACGCTTCTGCTCTGTACGCAGGCCGGTGTGCTCGCAGTGCTGCAGGAAGGTAGGCCGAGTTCTGGGGCAGGGGCCGCCTTGTGCTTACCCTCCCGCCCGGCTCACACTCTTCCTTCTTTCGTGAACAGATGCGGCTGCCCTCCAAGCCGTACTCTGCACTCCCCATCTTCTCCCTGGGACCCTCTGCCCTGCACCGAGGGGATAGCAGTCCGGTGGAAAAGCCGCCAGTTGGCCACCATCGGTCTCTGCGGAGCATCGCCAGGTAGGTCGGGCCAGGGCAGCAGCCCTGGGGGTTGGCACGCGGCTGCCCCCATCAGAGGTGACCACTCAGGGTGACAACTGCTATCTAACAGGGCGCCTTGGTCATGTAGTTTATATTTTTTCAACTGTTGAAATAATATCTCATTGTGTTCTTTAAAAGTTATCTTTAAGGGGCCAGGGAGATGGCTCAGTGGAATAAGCGCTTCCTTGGCATGCACAAGGGCCTGAGTTCAATCCCCGGTTCCACGAAAAAAAAGATTAAATAAATAAATAAATAAAAGTTATCTTTAAAATCCACCTGTTTGCCATGGAGTTAAGAACTTGCATATGACATCTAATCATACTTCCTAGAGCTGCAAGTTCAGGGGGATGTGCTGCATGCGTGCATCCACCCCCGGGGCGCCCAGGAGGCTAGTGGCCCCAGGAGGAGGCAGGCAGCTCGGGGTCTCACTGGCTGGGGCAGCAGTATCCGGGAACTCGAGGCCAGCCAGTTGCCAGACCATGACTAGAGTCTAGACGCTGTCCTCTGTGTGCCAAGACACTACTCCTTGGTACCTTCGGGGAGGACATGCTTGCTCAGGCAGAAGTGACGGCCGCTGCTCCTCCCTGGCCGCCCGCCTCTGACCTGTGCTGCTGGGTCCACGCGCTCGTTCCTGCTCAGTTTCATTGGACAGTGAGCCACAACACTTCGCTACCTCCAGCTCTGGGGTCCAAATAAGCAACCACCCAAACAGCATTACTGGGTGGAGGAGGCATGCTTGGTAAATGCACAAGTGACAAGAAAACTTCAGGATGGGCTGTGAGATTGCATCAGTTCAGCTTCCTGTGGTCTGACCTGCTGTCCTCGTGACTCCTACCCTGCTGGGCCGGCCATCAGCCGGGCTGCTTCTGGGGTATCAGTGCGGTCTCGGGGATGTGCACGCCGCCTCAGAGCTGTGTGGTGGTGAATTGAGGCCATTTTCCAGGATTCTAGTAGAATGACTTTCACTGCTGTTTCTTAATGAAATAGGTTTTTCAGTGTCTTTTCAAAAAACACTGTGAGCCTTATCTCCACTAAGAAATTCTCCTTCGGAGAACATGCCAGGATTTTTTTTTTTTTTTTCCAGTACCAGGGATTGAACTCAGGACCCTGCGCTTGCCAGGCAAGCACTTATTCTACTGAGCTATCTCCCCGGCCCCATGCCATGATTAAATCACCCTCCCACAGCACTTTGAAGACAGATGGTTTTCGCATATGCTTTACAGTAAAATGATGGCGAGGACCTGAGCAGCCCTGGGGCTTTCTTTCAGGTTCTCCTCGAAGTCCAGGTCTGTAGACAAGGCGGAGGAGGAGCTGCAGTTCCCTAAGGAGCTCGTGGAGGACTGGAGCGCCATGGAGGTGTGTGTGGACTGCAAGAAGTTCATCTCTGAGATCATCAGCTCCAGCCGGCGCAGCCTGGTGCTGGCCAGCAAGCGGGCCCGGCTGAAGCGCAAGACACAGTCCTTCCAGGTGTCCTCGCCGGGCACTGCAGAGTACTGTCCCTCGGAGCGGACCATCAGCGAGATCTGAGCCGTGCCTTCAGCACCTGTCTGCTTAGGAGGCTGGACCCTGCACTAGGTCCCACCCCGCACACTGCGTCATCTCCAGGGGTGATAAGGGACAGACTGGCTGGGGCAACAGTGGGGTGAGACTGGCTTTCACATGTGGGGGTGGAGGCCAGATTCTGTGGCCTGCGTGGGTTCCCTGTGGTCTCTTGCTGTGTCCCCAGCTAGGGTGTGAAGCTTCTTGGGTGACGAGGTGGCCCGCTGGTGCTGCCAGCAGCATGCTGCAGCAGTGTCACCTTGACACCTCGAGCAAGTGTCCCCCGCACATGTCCCTGCAAGGGCAGTGACACTGCCCAGCCCCAAGGGCGTCACACCAGGACTCTGCCTGCACGCTGGTGCAGAGCTGCTTTCCTGGCCATAGCCTGTGTCCCCCAGCGGTGCGGGCCACGCCCTGCCCAGAATGTATTACCGCCACTAACAGTTTTATGACGGAGCTCTCGAGGCTCTGTGGCCCTGTGGGGACCAGCTGAGTATTCTGGGTGCCGAGGATGCAGGGAAGGAGCCAAGCTCACGCATCTACAGTGTGTTTTTCATAACTTTATAGTGCAACTTTCTCAACTAAATTAAGCCACAATTTAGTACCTAAAGTCTCAAACCGAAGTTTATTTTTGTAAATGAATTTTAAAAGAAAAAGATACCTAGCTGTTTGAAAAGTACAAGGAAATTCCCCTGCACTTGGCAAGATGTTTGGATGCTCTGCTTTCTCTTGAGGGCGACTTAGGCAGAAGACTTGGTGTCCCCTGAAGGCCACCTCAGCACCGCACACGCGGAAGCTTACCTTGCGTGGCCCAGGCCTTCGCCCATCTGTTACTCTGGTGTGCCTAGGGCTGACAACCGGGTCAGCGTGCACACGGCACTTCCCAACCTGCAAGCCCACCGGTGGCCACACTGGGCCCGGGCCCGCCACCCTCCCAGACAGGCCCATGTCCACGTCAGTAACAGTCATACCTCAGAACTGCTCCAGTAGTAGTTTTTAATGGATGGAAATTTACAGTTTAGTAAATGGCTTTAAACTACTTAAACTTATGAAATAAACTTGACAAATTGACTAAAGCAGCACATTCGTAGCTCATCTGTGTTGTGAAAGTGAAACTACCACTGACCGACTTCGTCTTGCTTGGGAGCTTTCAAACTTGCATTGAGCAGCCTCGTTCATACGCTTTCCACGAGACCATAGGCGCTTCCCAGAGCTGGCCTGAGCTGGAGCGAGGACGGCTGACACAGCTACCACGTGGCTTGAGCCCACGCCAGGAAGCTGCCAGCGTGGCAGGCTGGGCTTGCCAGGCAGCCCAGTGAGACCCAGCTCCCAGCCCCAACTTGAAGTGCTAGGAAGAGCCTCATGCTGAGCACCTGCCCAGCACGAGTGAGGCCTGGCTTTGATCTCCAGCACTGCATAAACAAATCAACAAAAAATAAGCCTAAGATAATGTGCTTTTGAAAATAACAGCTCAGGGAGCCGGGGAGATGGCTCAGTGGAATAAGTGCTTCCCTGGCAAGCACAAGGGCCTGAGTTCAATCCCTGGTTCCGAAACAAAAAGAAAAAGAAATATTAATAACAGCTAGTTCTGCTTATATTCAAGGAGAAGCTGACCGCAAATGAGCACTTCATTCCTGTCCCAAAGCAGTTGTCAGGGCGTCTGTTCCCTTCCTTCTCAGCCGGTGAGCAGTTTGACACAGAAAGTCCTTGCGGCGGCCTCTCTTGGTTCGGCCATGAGTCCCTCAGGGCAGCAGTGCACAGGTCACTGCAGGGCTGAGCTCAGAGACTGGCGTCCCCGTGGGGCGGAGCTGTGGGATCAGCCGACCTCGCCTGCTGTGCTGCTGTCCCGTAGCGTGGCTGCTGGGCCCTCCCCAAACTCCTCCCAGGGACACCTGCCCCCACAGGTTGCCTTGGTCAGGGTCAGGCGTAGGAGAATGTTGCAGAGGAGTCACTGCTGGCGATGTTGCAGACCCCGGGAAGCGGGCTGCAGTGTGGCAGGTACATGCGTACCCAGCACTCGGGCTTCCTGGGAGCCAGAGGTGGTCATGGAGTCTACAATGCTTTGGCGTTGAGCCTGTGAGTGGCACCATGAACTCATGCGATCACGTTTCTACGGCTCTTCTTTTTCTATCTAATAACCACGGGGCTATGCATAGGCGCTGTAGGAAACACAGGAAGGCTGCACCCAGGGTGATGCGTTGGCGCAGCGTTCCCCATTAAAGTATTTTCTTTTCAAATGCAAGTGAGGACGAAGAAACTGGTATCATCTTCCCCCTGTACGGTGTGCCTGCTGTGCTGGTACTGCGCTTGGTGACCGGCCTGAAGATGAGTCCTTTGTGATAGTTGTGAGGGCCACCAAGACTGGCCTGGCTGATAGCACCACTGTTTCTAAGCCCACGAGGCGGCAGTGAAGATATCGTCACATGGAGGTTGTTACACAGAAGGAGGTAATGTTCTAACCACTGTAGTGGTGTGACAAGTAGCCTGTGCATTCTATGTGTGCAACACACTCAATTTGGGAGAAAGCCATTAGCTTTTCCTATTTCTTGTTTGGTTTTTGTTGTTGAGGTGAAGTCTGATTCTCTTCCCTGGGCTGTTTCTCAACTCCTGGGTTCCAAGCTCCTCCTCCCTCAGCCTCCTGCATACTGTGATAGCCAGTTTTCATGTATACTTTTTAAAGCACAATCGTCAAAGGGTGTAGTGGGTTGTTGTTGTTGTTTTTTTTTTTTTTTTTTTTTTTTTTCAGAACTGGGGATTGAACTCAGGCCCTTGTGCTTGCCAGGGAAGCACTTATTCTACTGAGCCATCTCCCGGGCCCTACAAAGGGTATAGTCTTTAAACATGAGTGTAAGAATTGATGCTGTGTTCACTACAATCACATCGACTCTGCAGATCTTAAACAGTACATACTGACTTTGATACTCATTTACACAGCTGTTTTTTGACATTCTTGGGAGCGCCTTTTACTGAAGCTCTGGGAAATGTGGAGGACAGCTCCTGTGTGTTCTGTGTGTATGTGCATCTACCTCCTGCCCATGTCCAGTTGGTCACCCCTTACTGTGCCTGCCTGGCTCCCACAGAGGAAAAGCTTTAGAGCTGTAAACCATCACAGTGAACAGTCTCACAGAGAACCTTTAGGAAGGGCGTTAAGGGCCCAGCACCTTTGCACTACATGCACGCAGATGCCACATGGACACACACACACACACACACACACACACACACACGTATAGCACAGGTGCACAGACGCTCACAATGATGCTGATAAGGTGTGCTGCTACCCTGGGTGAGCCACGGCCCTTATCCAGAAGCATCTTTGCCTGTGCAGAAAGCCTAGAGCTCAGCGCACTGTAACCTCACGCTGCCCAGGTCGTTGTTTCAGAGGCAGCTATGGGGCAGGCCACCAGGTTTGCAGGCTGCGCCATTAGAACACCATGGATGAGCACGGGCATTGAGACAGCGCTGCTAGCTCTGGTGATAAGGGACTGAGGACACTGCCGTGTTCACCTGCTTGAGACCCAAGAGCACTCTGCCTGCAACTGAAAACGAACGGACAGAACCGCTGGCCCAACCCTTCTGGGCAGGGTCTGCCTCCCAGTCACTGCTAATGTGCAGGACCTCAGACCATCGGAGGTAGCTGCCAGCCTGGAAAAGCCCAGCACACTTGTGGCTTTGCTTCAGTTCTGAGCAAGAGTGTGCAGCTGGGTGGCCACCAAGTCACCTATAATTAGCTGCGACACCCTAATCATTGCAGGGCAGCACTCAGGCTCTGTGATGACTGTCAGTCTGGGATCAAGGGGCACCGGGAACACGCCGCTCCGACGGAAGGGGAGTGACTCAAGTCTGCTTCTCTTCCTCCAGAAATTCTCTTCTCCAGGTTGGGGCAAACCTGGTTTTGCGCATGACATAGCATGGAAGGAAGGAAAAGGGCAGTGTGCTCCATTTATGTGAAACATGGGCAGAAGCAGATGAACTGCAGTCGTTTCCTAAACAAGTCGGAAACCTCAGAAAGGGCATAGATGCACAGAAGCCCATCGGGCCAGGTACACAGTGTCAGCAGTGTCCCTGTCCTGGGCATCCACCTGCCAGCCCCTGGCCATGTGTGCCTTTCCTGGCCTGACTGGAAGGTGAGAGAAGCAGGTGCTTCTACGGGACGTGGAGCTACGTTTTGGGAACCATGACAGTTCTCGGGGTCTCACTGAGGAGCAGCGTCTGAGTGCTGGTTGATCTCCTAGCTAGAAGCCCATCTCCTCCCTCCACATCCCTGGGCCTCAAGAGCCTGAAGGGCCTGGGGACACTGGGTCACTGGCAACTTCCCACAGACCTTCCTCACAGCTCCTGGCACATGTCCACACCTGGACAGACTCACTGCCCACATGGTGTCGTCCTGGCACCGTCACCCCCAGCAAGCCCCACACTCACTGCCCCCCCGTCCTACCCCAGGACAGGGACAGCATGTGGGGTCTCAATGCCAGAGCAGGTTCCTTGGGAATGAGACCAGCAAGAACTACGAGGGACCTTGCTGCTCCCTGGCAGGTGGACACCACTCTTGCCCACAGCTGACTGTCCCAGCGCCTCACGCTTAGGAGGAGGGAGGGAAGCAGTGAGCAGGGCCCATATGGGGTCTCACCAGCCTGGGGACGACACGCAGGCGGCAACCCATATGGAAGCCGCTAGTGGTAGCAACCACAAGGTCTCATGTGAAATTTTCTGGAGCTGGTTGCTCCGGAAGCTCGCTCAGTGCGCCAGTCTATCGTGAGCCAGGCGCCTCCTACTCCAGAAGGCAGCGGCCTGACGGTCCAGAAAACTTGGCCGAAATGTGGAGTCACAGAGATGTGAATGAATGAACACAGACGGGATTATGCACCCCCTAGATCTCAGCAATGCCACCAGGTTTGCACCCCGGCCAGAAGACACGACATTCCCATGGCGGTGTTCTTTAATGGCTCAAGACTGGACACAAGTCAAATTGCCATAAGCAGAACGAATAAATTAACTAAGGTATAGTCATCCTATGGGACAGTCCACAGCGAAGCAGTCGCCGGCCAGAGCTAGCCAGGAGACGGGGAACACACTGGGAGCCGTGCGCCCGCCAGCTACCGCGTCCCGCGAGCGCGTGCTGTGCAACCCAGGGTCACAGCGAGGAGAAAGGGCCTGTTTGGGACTGTGGTGCTGGCGATTTCCTGTTTCTCGTCTTATAGCTACTTGCCAGACTGCACGTCTTAGAGACTCTCTGGTATGAATGTCATCTTTCCAGCCCCACATGCGAGCAGACAAGCCAGAACTGGCTAATCAATGTCAAGCGGACGATCTGATGTGCACGCGCGATTCTGGAGCTGGAAAAGATTTTTTTAAAAAAACCTAATTGTTCAAAACATAAGAATAAAAAATAAAACTTTATGGCACTAACTGAGATATAAAACTATTTGAAATTTGTTGCAGTAAGAGAATTTGCCGAGAACCAGTAAAAAAATTCACGAAATAAAACTTTATGGTATTGAATATTTAGTACTGATTATGTTTCTTTTAATACAGGATTTTTAAAGTACTTTCTCCTTGAGACCAGGATCTCGCCCCACTGCCCACACTGGTCTTAAATTCCTGAGCTCATGTGATCCTCCTGCCTCAGCCTCTCGAGCAGCAAGGAGTACAGGGACCCAGTGGCGCCTAGCGAGTTTAAACGTGGCAGGGCTGGGGCAAAGTTCAGATGCCTGGTCTGTGTGTGGCCCTGGGCTCCTGTCTTCCCGAGTACCTCCTCATTCGCTTCCTTGGGGGCTGAGCACTGAACCAAGCTCTCTGCAGACCTGTACCCACATGGAATGCCCATCTGATCATCTGGGTCCCCCAGGAGGCTGTGCTCTCCTGGGGCAACACCCTGGACTCTAGGCCTCCCTGCCAGCAAAATGGTGTGGGAGGGAGGGGTTGCCCAGACAACACCAATGGGTGACAAGATGCTCTGTGGGGCAAGCATTACGGGGCAGGAGGGAGGCCCACGACTCCAGAGGCCACCCTTCCAGTGGTGCCACACAGCAGGGGAGCAGGCACCAGGCTCCCTCACCTCCACACCACAGGCTGTCATGCTGAGCTTCCAGGTTGGGGAGGGGACTGTGGATAGCCCTATGGACCTCTCTGGGGTCCAAGTGGCCCTGCGGGGTTGGGGACAGCAAGGCCCTCATCCCTTGGGAACCAGCTGCCCAGGCAACCCTCAGGCAAGGTCACGGCAGCAGCCACTCTGGGAGGCCAGCACCCACGAAGACCAGCAGCAAGGGGGCCAGATCTCAGGAACTCAGGTAGTATTTGGGAGCCAGAGCAGCACTGACCAGAAGCAGGCAAAGAAAGCCACTCACAGAAAGCTGTGCTGCCCTTTATGTGACCGCAAGCTCCACGGGACCTGGACGCTCTGGCTAAGCTCTCCCGAGAGGCCAGGCCCTGGGCCAGCGCCTCCCGTCTGCTCCAGCTGCTCCTGCAAGATTTCATCTACAGCCCCCTTTGTGCTGGGGACACAGCATGCTGGGCTGAAGCACAGATCTGGATGGGCTCTGGGAGACCCCAACATGAGGCCCCCTTCAGGTCTGCACCCATCCAATGGGAGGCACAAATGTGGGGGCGAAGGCCCTGCTCTTCAGATACCACAGGCCCTGGCTCGTGCAAAATGCTGCAGGGTCGGCCCCGTGCCCAGCGAGTGCGAGGCCCTTTCCCCATGGGGGAGGAGAGCTGCTTACAGCACAGACCAGAAGGCCCAGGGCTAAGCGGCCCCAGGGGCAGCAGGTTTCCAGCACCTGGTTCACACGCAGCAGGCACTGCCTATTATGTGGGCTCCACCCAACCTGTGCCTGGGCCCTCCTGTGGGGAGGAAGGGCCAGTGGGGCCCTGGGGCCAGGCGCTACCCTGGGGGTGCCCCTACAGTCCTCACAGCAGGCCTGGGCAGGGGCTCGGAGCCAAGGTCCTGGGGTCTGCAGGCTCCTCCTCTCCCAGATGGCACCAGCACTGCAGCCTCTTCAGGCTTTTCCACTCCACACCCGCCTCTTGCCCACCTTCTTCGACTGTCAGGGAGGATCTGATTAAAGGCAGAGGCAGGTTAGTGCTGGCCTGAGGACACCAAAGCCTGGAGCCTCAGCTCACAGGTAACCTCCTTAAGGGTGCACTCAAGCCCAGCCGTGCACACTCCTGGGCAGCCTGGCATCTGGGTGGGGGCAGAGCCTGGAAACCACTGCTTCAGTTGCCTCAGGGACCAAGGGAGCCATGAGCCAGGGACAAATGGATGGACAGCTGGACAAAAGGCAGGGAGTGCAGCTCAGTGGGGCCAAGAGCCTCAAGCGAACGTGAGGCAGATGCCCTGAGGACAGCCAGGTGCCACTGAGCACACAAGGGCAGCCACTTGCCCATCTCACCCTTGGCCTAGCACGGGCTGTGGAAGCCAGGGGCAGAGGGCAAAGCCAGCGGCCGAGCACAGCCCCATAGGGAAGGTCTCACACCCACACTCTCAGCACACCTGGTGGCCTGGTCCCATCCAGCGCCACACAAAGTCTGCAAATTTTACCCACAGTTGGCCCTTGGGTCAGCCTCAGCCTGGACTGTTCCACCCATGTGTAAAGCTCCCTCCCTCCCCAGCTGGGCACAAGCATGGGGAGGCTCAACAGACTGGGCAAGGCATCCTGTCACAGGGAAAGGGAGTGCGGGGACAGGGCAGGCTGTGGCCATAGCAGAGCCGGAGCCAGGCCAGGAAGCACACTGCGCCCTCAGCACACACCCGCCAGTCATGCTGAGTGTACCAGGCCATATGTCCCAGGGACCAAGACACGGCCTTTAGCTCACGGCGCTCTCCGAGTGCTCGATGATCCACTCAATGGCCGCCCAGCCCTGCAGGAACAGAGGGTGGGACAGGTGTGGGCCTGACACAGCCTTTACAGCCCCCAACGAGGGGCACCAGCCTCCCCGAGACAGGCTTGCAGTGTGACCCTGATGTCCCAGAGCCCCAGGCTACCAGCTGCTTCTGGCAGATGCACCATTGCCAGGGAAATGCAAATGGTGGCCCTGCCACAGTTCCTCATGCAGCTGAGGCAAGGGCAGCAACCCTGTGGCTCTGCCCCACCGAGCTGACCTCGGACTTGGGGAAGAAGGGACCCAGCCCCTCCGGGGCACTTCACTCTCCCTGCGGGCAAGCTGCCATCTATATTGCTCCAAGCTGTTTTCCCTTAGGGCCCAGGGCCTGGCTCTGCTGTCTGCGGCCAAACAGCAGACAGTCCAGATGCTACCTCAGGGCCCAGGGCCTGGCTCTGCTGTCTGTGGCCAAACAGCACACAGTCCAGATGCTACCTTGCATAGTCCAAGATGAAGCTGGAGCCTGTGGGGGACAGGACGAGGGAGCTGTGGCCCCAGGAAGAGCCTGAGGACAAGTGCTGCCAATACCAGGCTCTTGGCCACCTGTGCTTAGGGGCCATCTGCCCCCAGCACCCAGGCACGGGCAGCCACACATACCCCGTCTCCTCTCCCCACAAGGGGCCGCCCCACATTCTGCTGTGGAAGCGACACACGCCCTGCATGACAGTGCGTGTGGGATGGTAGGGCCGAGAGGGAGCTGCAGCTTAGGGACCCAGCACGGGCAGCGCGCAGGGACTGCGCTCTGGCCCCAAGCTCACCTTCTTGGCGTTGGACGAGATAGTGCTGGCCATGAGACTCTCCAGGTAGCGGCCAAGGCCTGTGCCCTCCACGGAGATGACAGCCTCCTGCGTGAGCACCGTCCTGCAGAAGGCCAGGAGTCAGGCTGGCCCCCGCGAGGCCCCGCCACCCTGCGTGGCCCCAGGCTGGAGACTCACTTCTCAGGATGCTCCGGGTGCGGCGTGTACACCAGCCTCTCGTTCACTGACACCAAGTTCCTCAGTGTGATCTTTAGAGAGATGAGGCTTCAGGTTCGGGGCCTCCCGCCTTCCTCCCCATGGCCTGGCCTGGACATCTGGACCCCAGATCAGCGTTCAGGGTGTGCAGGCCACGGGACACCCCAGGGACGCAGCAGGGCCCAGCCATCCGGGTGGCACCAGGCTACCAGCACACGGAACTTGGTTCCCCTTGTGGCTGGACTCCTGCCTTTCCTACACATTTACTACACTAGAGTTAAAAACCAAAATCCTGTGATGTCAGTTCTTCTCATGAAGAGCACAGAGCCACGCGCAGGGAGGGTGGCCTGACGCCGCCCCCAGACCCCAGCACCTCTCATCCCGGCCACCGCTTACATTGGTGGAACAAAGCTCCATTTTCTTCTCCACAGGGTCCACCACAGAGCGCTCCCTGATGTACGTCAAGGTCCTACTGGTCCCCAAAATCTAAAAGACAAACACAACTGGCATAACAATGAGCTTAAGGTTCAATTCATTTATTCAACACATGGCACATCTGGGGAAACAGCCTCATCTTGGGTGCTTTTGTCACCCATGAAGGTGACAGACACAGAATTTAGAGCTGAATGTGTGACAGTTAACACTCTGACAAAACCAAATGGACTCAGGGTGAGGCGGGGGCACAGGGGCCCCAGTGTTGGACACACTCGAGCTGAGGTCTGGGTGGTGGTGGACTGCAGGGACACAGGCCAGGACAATGGGGCCCTGGCGGGGATGAGGGTCAGGCACTGCCTGGGCATCAGCCCTCACCAGCAGCCTGAGGAAGAGGCTGTTAGGGGGGCACCTATGTCCCCCAAACACCTATATGGACAGCACCCTGAGACCTCCAAATGTGACTGATTTGGATACTACCCTTCCCAGAGGTGACTGAGGTGAACCACATCCTCCTAGGAGTCACCAGGGAGGGTACCCTGCATCGGAGGAAGCCATAACCACACATGGGAACCAGCTCCACAGCCTGTCCCTGGGGGCATATGGGTCAAAGTGCTGCCAGGGCAGCTGGGGACAGGAAGCAGGCACCGCGTAGCCAGAGAAGAGACAGCCGCAGGGAGGGGATGGCCAGGGAGGGAAGGGGTGGGGCAGCGCCCAGCTCCTAGGAGGGCAGCAGAGGGGACAGGGCCTCACCGCAGTGACCAGGCCAGGCAGCCCCCACTCGGTGCTCAGCAGGCGCAGGCTGTGCAGCCGCCCACGGCCATCTACACCACGCTCCAGGACGTCCACGCCCACCACACTGGGGTTCATGGGGTTCGGGTACTTCCTCATTGCAGCCTTGATCACCGTGTCCCATGGGTGGCTGTAGGAAAGCAAGTCAGTGCCATGGGAGGGAAAGTCTCAGCTTTCTACAGCCAGGAAGCCCCCCAGGCCTCCGGGACAGCAGGGGCAGAACCCCTGGGGAGAGGCCCCCAGGCTGCTCTACCACAGATGTGCACTGTCCAGCCCTTCGGGCTCCTGGTCCTCCTGAGCAGGGTACAGAACAGCACCCTTCCTTGTCTGTGTGCAGACCTGGCCTCCACCCAGGCTGCCTGAGCTGCTGAGAGCCAACTGCAGTGTCCCCAGCTCACAACGCAGCAGCAGGGCCATGCGTCCCCTGCAGGCTCCCTTGGTGCCTCACGGGAGAAGCGACCGGGGAGGGTCAGGGGTTCCCACTACACTGGGCTCTGAGAGGCCACTGGGCTTAAAGCACGCAGCCCACCAGGTACAGGGCGGGACCCGGCACAGGGGGGAGCCCGAGCTTACTTCTTGTTGCTACATGTGCACAACTTGGATGTGGCCAACTCAGCCCACCCTGGGGTGGGGCTGGCGCAGCCTGTGGTGCTAGGGATGGGACTGCGGTTCCTGTGCACTGCCTAAGCAGGCGCTTCAAACCACTGAGCTATCTCGCCAGCCCTGCCATGCTTTTAGATGATAAAAAGTATTCAAGATTTTGAAAAATAGACATCTAAAAACATTTTAAATCCTCTAAGTCACTTCCCACATGACCCTGTCAACAAGTTGCACACACACGGCCCTCGTATCCACACCAACACCACCCTGACCTCCTCAGGACAGAGTAGGGCCATGAGCAGGCACACACTGGTCACCAGCTCACCATGCCCACCTGCCCATGCCACCCAACCAGCCCCTGGGCACCCCCAGGCTTCCCTGCAGGACGCCCCATCCTCTCCAGCTCTGCACCGAGGGTGAGCACCTCTCTTGCTTGCCTCTAACCCCAGAGGCTGTGCTGGGTACACCCCACAGTGTGTTCATTCAGAGCTCCCCCAGGGTGGCCAGGGTGCCAGCAGGTCCCCTAGTGTCCTCTGCAGGTGCCCTCTCCTGAGAAGTCTGTGAGCCACCTGTGTGAGCTCTCCCCACAAGGCACCTCTCTCCACAGATCCCAGAGCACAGCACACGTAGGCCCAAGGCCTGGACATTCGCACACACACACCCCCCCAGTACACACGTGCACACACACATGTGCTACAGAAAGTACTTGCAATTACATTTAATATATGGGATATCAATTTTTATAACTAATAAGGTTTACCTACATCTGGAAGCTATTTTCAAAAATGTGATTCTAAGTAGCTGTACAGCAGACTGTCCTGTGGATGGCCACGTTTAACCAGGCCCTATGACACTTTACTCTGTCACATAACAGATGTTGGCACTAGGAGTGGAGCGGTTGCTATGTATGCCTACCTGACTGTGTGGCTTAAAAGTCTTAACTGGTTCTTGAGAGTTTTGAAAGGTTTGGAGAAGCCACGACAGAAGCCCGAGAGTGCCGCAAGCTGAGGGTTATGGCGATACCTGTCAGGGCTGCGAGGCCCAGCGTGCTGACCACTACCTGTGTGAGGCTGGGACTCAACACACCAAAACTAGAGCACCACGCTGCAAAACCCTAAACACAGGAATGGTCAGGCAATCAAGCTGTCTGTTGATCCAGATAATATCCGTTTTCTTTAAAAAGTGCCACTTTTCTTACTATCTTTGGGTAAACACATCTTTATTATTTATTTATTCAATGTTATGTTACAGTAACAAGTTTTTGGTGTGTGTGTGTGTGTGTGTGTGTGTGTGTGTGTGTGTGTGTGCTGGGACTTGAACTCAAGACTTCGTGCTTGCCAGGCAGGCACTGTACCACTGAGCTATATCCCGAGCCCAGTAACAGGCTTCTTATTACTCCTATCAGTGAATACATATTTCAAATTCTTGTTTCAGTTGCAGCTTCCCACAGAGGTGCACAACTATAAGCCCTTCTACTTGGGAGGCTGAAGAAAAAAAATCAGGAGTTCTGGGACAGTTGACACTCTAGCAAGATCTTTCTCAAGATACATTTTTGAAAGGGCTGGAGATCATCCGTGGTCTAGCACTTGCCGGGCATGCACAGGACCCTGGACTCAATCCTTAGAATCTACAAACAACCTGCAGCGTGGCTTTGTTATTTTCACCCTGCTGAGACAAAATCCTGACACCCAAACGGAGGAGAGGCCCATTGTGGCCCAGGCCCAGGCTGGCTCAAAAGCAGAAACCGCGCAGTGGACTGGGCCTGGGCGGGGGCGAACTGCGCACCCACACAGGCCAGAAGCAGTGGAGAGGGAGACCCCTCCTACGTGGCTCCCCGTGGCAGCCGGTGACGTGCAACCCGGCAGGCCCTTTTAGCACCCACTCGGATAAAACCTGTTTGGTCCTGACACTCTCCAAGGGAGGAAAGTGGCCTTTGACAGCTTGGGAGCTCTGTGCTCCGCAGGGGCCTGTGGCTGAGTGGAGCAGAAACACCAGGGCTGGCTGCTGCAGGTGCTGTCATCCCATGGGTGGCAGGAAGTACCAGCTGTGGCATCCACACAGGTGGGACCCTGCAGGGTCTCTAAACCTCCTGTACCTGCGCTGAGGCCTCCCTATCTCAGTATGGGTGGCCCAGCGGGATACTAAGAGATGGAGTCCTTTGCAGAGATGCAGCAGGCAGTGGACCGCTGCACCCAGGCCTCGGGAGGGGAACTGGGGAGTGGGAAGGGGATAGCAGCGCCCAGCTCCTCCCGCCGGGTCCAGTGCCCTCGGTACTCCTGCCTGGAAGCTGCCTCCTCCTACCTTCCTGAGCCCTGGAACACCGTGGGGTCAGCCCAGCCACACACCCGCCATTTGGATCACCTGCGATGCACTGATGTGTCCAGGGTGGATAAATGGTGGGGGCGGGGGGCGCTGCAGAAGTGTATGTGGGCGTCTGGGGAGAAGGGCAAAGCCCTAAATCCAGCCTAGCACATCAGCCCAACAATCATCTAAATGTAAACTCCACAAATGCTGGGAAATCCTCTGTGTGCGCTGTTTCCTCAGCACTGAGGACGGATCCAGGGCCCTCTCACCTGGCTAAATCCCATTCATTCATAGGCCTCCTTATGCGCCTAAGTTGGGCAGGGTTTTGGTCCTCCTGCCTCAGCCTCCCAGAATGCTGCGACTACAGACCTGCGACGGCCTGGGATGGTCACTTTAAAAGAGTGACTTAGAAGACAAAAGTTGAGTCTCAAGAAGGGTGGTCCTCAATACAACTTTAAAACAAACGGACGTCAGGGGCAGGAGTCAACAGTGCCCCTGAGCCGGCCTCTCCCGCACACCTTGGAACCCCGGGTTTGGCCAAGTGCCCGGAGCCCGCAAGGGACGTGCTGGGGGTTTCCACGCTGACCAATGCGCTTTTCCTAAGTTCTGGACTTTTTAAGACCACAGGACCACTACTCCATCTCTCGCAGGTCCCCCGGCCCCACTACTGGTTCGGGGAATCTGAAAATCCGAGCTCCTCGCAAGGCCCCCAGGGCTCGGGATTAGGGGACGCCGGGCGACACACTCCGGCACAGGTGCGGCCACGCAGACCTTACGCCCACACGGCCCAGGGAGTGCCCCGATGGACGCCTGCTTCAGCCGGGCGCAAGCACCCGCGGGGTGGTGGGCAACTGAGACAGGATGGAGCGAGGGTGAGATGAGGGTGGGGAGGCCGAGAGGAAGGCACCGGCGCCGGCCTTCCCAGACCCAGCGGTCCGCCGCGGCCGGTAGTGCGCGCTACCCGCTCACCCGAACACGTGCTCGGAGCTCCAGACCCTCATGGCGCCGCGGGGACGCGGGTCCGGCCGCCGACTGCTGCGCTGCGGCCCGCCGCTCGCGCTCCCGACCGCCCT